CGCCCCCGGCCCGGGTAGCCGTCCCCCTCCCTGCCTCCTTCAGGGCTGGCGGCTCCCTCACCCAGCCCTCCTTCCCGGGGCAGCGCCCCGGGGTCCCCTCCGGAGCTCCTTGCGGGCACGGGGCATCCTCTCCTCCTCCACCCCCGGGCAGCGCCCTGTGTCATCTCTTACCGGCCTCTCCGCCGCCTGGGTTCCCCTTTCCACTCCCCGTTCTCCCCTCACGCCACTGCCGTCCCCTCTTTCCCCTGCACCCCCAGGCGTGGGGCATCCTTTCCCCCTTCCAGGGCCCCCCAGGGGATGCCGCCCCCACGGGGTCCCTCTCCAGCTCCCCGCGTGCACCTGCATCGCTCTTTCCCCGAGGGTGCTGGGGCACCTCGGCGGGCAGATCCCTTGCATGCCTTCCGCCGCCACCCCACGGAAATGCTCCCCCAGCCCGCCGCCTGATGGTCGTCGTTTCCTCTCTCCTGCCTGGGTGACTGAAGGTGGGGGCTCCCACCGAGCTGCCACCTACCACCCCAGTCTCCCCAGGCGAACACTCTTGGGGCACCGCCTGTGGCTAGGAGCCTGCACCTGGGGAGGAGAGCCCGGGAAAGGGGTGACTTCGTGGGGGACCTGGCTGGTGGCCCTCAACCTGACATGCCTCCTTCTGATCTTCCAGGGGCTTCGGGAAGCAGGGGTTCCAGTGTCAAGGTACGTCTGGGGCTCTGGGCTTCTGCTGTTTGTGGCAGAGAGAGTGGAAAGGACTTTATAGACATGACCGAGTTAGGCAGAGTGGAGGACTCGTGTGTGCAAGTGACCTCCCAGGCTAGGAATTCTTCATCGCTGAAGGGTCCTTTTAAGGGGTGTGCATATGTGGGACAGAGATGCTCCTTGCGGGAAATGCTGGTGGAGCCCAGCTTCCCTTAATGTCACTGAGGTGTAGCAGTGGGGCGCTCCTTCTGCCGACCCTGAAGAGGCGCCAGGCTCTGGAACCCCTCCTGGCATCGTGTCGTTCCTGCGCTGTCATTCCCCGCGGGGAGGAGGTGTCTTCACAGTTCCTTTCTGGGAGGACCCTTTCTCCTTATTCCTGCCCTTTCCCTGCCTGCATCCCTCCTCCACTCAAACTGGGGTTTTAACCCTTCCGGCTTACAGAGAGGTCTCCGCAGGTGGCTGCTTCCTCTGCAGATGGTGCATCCCCTAGAAAAGCAACTGTGGTCTCTCCTGCGCCTCCGCCCTCCCTGAAAGAATTTCCAGATGGGGTGCTTCTCAGACCCTCCTTTAGGCTGCCCTTTCTGGTGTCTGGGTACTTCTAAGAAAAGCTCCAAGTGCCTGGTTACCTGTGCCCTTGCCTCTGGTTTGAAACCCTTGCCCAACCTAAGAGTGTGACTTTTTGTCAGGCCTAAGGTGGCTTCTGCTGTCTGTTGTTAAGAAAAATTATATATTTTTAATGGTTTAGACAAGGTTTTGCTATGTTGCCCAGACTGGACTTGAACTCTTGGTCTCAAGTGATCCTCCTGTCTCAGGCTTCTAAGTTGCCAGGGTACAGGCAAGCACCACTAAGCCTGGCTCTGGGGCTAAAGTCTAAAAGATAGGTAGCATATGGGCTCTGCGAAGCTAGCGTTTGCAGACTTGTTTAACCCCTAGGATGTCTTAAGCATACTGTGAACTCGGTGTTAGCATTTTAGGATGGGGAGATTTTATATACATATCTGAATTTCCAACTTCACCTTTGGTGAAAAATGGGCCTCTGTCCACATTAGAGGAGTCTTTTGGAACTGCTGTGTTTGTAGACAGGGCACACATTCACCGTATTGTCTCCAACCCTCTCTGCCCAGCCTGCTTCACCCATTTCTGCCCCATGCAGGCTTTTGGATTTGCAATCTCTGGTTTGGAAAGTGCGTGCATGCATGTGTGTTTTCCTCCCAATTTTAGCCAGGTGCAGCTGAGAGGTGGAATATTTCTTGCATGTGTCTTGGGGGTAAATGGGCCACCCAGGCCATCTGGATTTATTTTAGGAGAAGAAAGCATTTGAGCATGGAGGAGTCCGAAATGTAACCTAGCACTCACTGAGAGTTTTACCTTTGCCTCTGCACCCTCCGGGGAACAATAAAGAGGCTCCCAGGAGTGGAGGCTGAGAGGGCGCGGCCTTGTACATTGTGCAAATGCTGGCCCCCTGTGCGCAGCCCTGGAGCCTCCTACCCCTGCCCAGTATCTCTCACCAAGACTTGGAACCTCAGTTTCACACAGCACCCAGAGGTCCTGTCTCCAGATCCCTTTAATGTCAACAACTTAGGCCCTGGTGGAAACAGTACAGATTGTTTTCTAGAACCTCCATCTCTCAAACAAAATACCAGAGGCATCTTGGTGCTGGGATGTGTTATTTCTTCTCTGAGGTTGTGTTTTCACTTCCACGAATCGGTTTCTGTCTTTGTCTCTTGTTGAAGTCAGGATGATTTTTAAACAGTTTTGCTTCTACTCCTCTGTACCTTTAGTGTTACTGAGGGCTGGGAAGTCCCCTTTGGAATATGCAGGGGATGACACAGTTGAAGCAAGAGATGTTTTTATTCAAAGCCTGGCAATGCTAGGAATTTCCAGGTGTAATGACAAAACACTGAAATTAAAGTTTCTGATGAAATACACATTCATTAGAGACCAGTGTGTGTGTGTGGGGGGGTGTAAAATAACCTCTTTTTCCCTCCCCATTCCTCTATCTTTGGAAAAGTGTAGAGTAGTGGGCATGTGTACAAGCTCCCAGGTATGTCACTGAGTGTGAACCCTTGCTTTGAGACATGCTAGGCAGATTTCTTGGCATCTCTGTATCTCAGGTTCCCTAGCTGTAAAGCGGGACCAGTAACAGTACATACCTTAGAGTTGCCGGGCAGGTCCAAGTCATTGCAATATCTCAGATGCTTGGATCAGAGCTTGGCACCGGGTAAGCACTCAGAAAATACAGCTCTTATGATTGTCTCCAAACCTCCTCCATGTGGGACAGCTGTGTGTGAGAAGACAGCCCTGCAGGATGGCTTTGGTATGGAGATGGCTGGTAGGTAGGAGTAAAAACCCAGCCCTGAACATCTGCTCATCCGGTGTCACTGCTTGGACAATGTATTTCTTTTGTGTTGGAGCAGAGGGGAGAAGAGAAAGCGGGCAGCAGATTGACAGTCCCTGAAACTGACATGCTTAGGATGTGGGACATCATGAAGGAGGAAAGTTTATCCCTGGAACTTGCTATTGCCTGGGACTAATTTTGGAATATGGAGCTTCTTATTACGAGCTGCTGCTGCTTCTTATTTTTGGCACCAAGTATTTCCTCTTAAAGTGAATCTATTTGACATGGGATCAACATTTATTACAGAAAATGCAAAAAGTTTTATTCTCTTACCTAAGTCAGCAGCTCAGAGCTCAGTTCCTTCTGTTCCCCTCAGCTTTCTGCCCTCCCATCCCTAGGGAGAGACGGTTATCTCTTGGTCCGAGAAGGATGTCGGACCCTCCAGACTTCACTTCCTTCTTTCAGTCAGCAGGAAGCAGAAGAGCAGCAAAGAAAGGCAAAGGACACATGCTCAGCACCACTTATGGGAGTCGTCTCTAGATGCTTCAGCCTGCACCCTCTCACCCAGAACTTACGCATACAAGAGGATATATGGGAAATGTAGTGTTTATTTCAGGTAGCCATGCTGCCCCAAGAGCTGGTGGAGGGGTGTTTCCATTTCAAAAGAGAAGCAGAGAGGGCTGGGGATTTAGCTCAGTGGTTCTGCTGCCTGCCTCACAAGCTCAAGGACCAGAGTTCCATCCCCAGTACCAAAAAAAAAAAAAAAAAAAAAAAAAAAAGAAAAGAGAAGCAGAGGGAGGAGGGAGCCCTTGTCTCTGCTGGCTAGGAGATGTGGAGGTGCTTGTAAGGCAAGGGGCCGTTGGAGCTGCCCCTGCCCATTATGCTGCCCTGGAACTTGCGGTGCTGGTGTGGGCTGGTAGAAGAAGGATGGGAAGTCCATAAACCACTGGAAATTATGGATTTTTATGTGCTCAGGGGAGCTTAAGAATAGATTTTCTTGGCTTTGTACTGCTCGAGGACAAAACTTGAGGTTGACTGCCACATAATTTCTCCTTTTTTGTTTCCGCTCTGTTTTTAATAAAACTGCTCCCTGTGAAATAGTTTAAGAATGCCTCTTGTGACAGAGGCCTGAGGCTGAGGATTCTTGCTGTGAAACTGCCTAAATTCTGGATGGAAAAGAGACCCCTTGTACAAGTAAGGGAGACCTGTCTTTATGGCATTCATTGGAGGAGCCTGGAACCTGCGTTTTTGCTTTACTTGTAATTGAGACAAGACTTTGAATGGAATTCAGTTCTTGCTCTAACAGGACTTTGCAGTTAGCAGAGGAAAAAAAAAAGTTTTTTTTTGTTCTTTTAGGAAGTCACTTCAGCTGAAATAGGTAATAATATACAGAGATTCGTGATTCAGAGCCTGGGAACTGGGCATGGTAGTACACGACTGTATTTCCAGCACTCTGGGAGGCTGAGGCAAGAGGTTCTCAAGTTGGAGTCCACCCTGGGCAATTTAGCCATTTAGTGAGATCATGTGTCAAGATAAAAAAGGAAAAAGGACTGGTGATGTAGCTTAGTGAGAAAACCCACGGTTCAATCCACAATACTGAAGGGGGGAAAAAAAGAATTCACAGCGTGGGATTGGAGTGCAGAAGAATGGGGTTCTGATCCCTGATCTGCCCTGTAGTCACAAGTACCCTGGGAAAGATCATCCTCCTCTTGTGTGTTGGTCTGCACATCTGTAAAATGGCCCTGCTAGTGTCTCCTTTCTAGGGTTGCAGTGCAGAGCAGTGAGGAAGTACAAGAAAAATATCCACAGTAAGTGTCAGTGGCTCTAGGTGAGGCAGTCATTGCTTGATTGTCACAGTGGGACACAGTCAACCGTGGGGCTCACTAAATGACCATGCCTGTTCCGGGCACTTAGACTCCTCTTATCTGTGTTTCTCCACAGGCTTTGGGTGACACCAGTGTGTACGGGGCTCAGTGCCTGGATTTGGGCAGGCTTGATTTACATCATCTTTCTTTGTGAGAAAAATCTGAACTTACCGTAGATGCTCAAAAAACCCCAGGGCACTAATTTTCTGACTCTGAAGAGCTAGAATGGATGATTATAATGAGTACATCAGCTTTTCCCCTTTCCTGTGTAAATTCAAAAACATGTTTTTAACCTGCTCAGTGAAATTATTAAAAAAATACCCAAAGTATCACACGACACCAATCTTTTTTGCTGTTTACATCAATACCGATCCTACAGAATATGCTTATTTTATTGTGTAATTAACACGCACAGATTAAAATATGCACTTTAAAAAAAAAAACAGAAATGAAGCAGGGCTGAGAGTACAGTTCAGTGGTGGAGGACTTGTCTGGGGTGCACAAGGCCCAGGATTTGCTCTCTAGCACCACCTCAAAGAACAAAAATGAAAAGGAAGAGGAAAGAAAGCAGGAAAGAGGGGAAGGAAGGAAGAAAAAGAAAAGATGAAAGAACATTAATTAGAGTTTAATTTTATTTTGGGTATAGTTCTCACTGAAAATTTATGATGGGAGCTGCCACACTGTAGCTTGAGCTTTCTCAGTAAAATCATAAAGCAAGCCATTAAAAAAAAATTCACCCAGACAGGGCGCACGTCAGTAAAGGTGGCCTCTGTTGTTTCACTCCCGCCCTTCCTAGA